GGCTCTCCTCCCTCAACCACTTCTCACCTATGGATTCTGCGAAGTAGGTGCCTGCAGTTTTTTGTGGCAGCCAAATCCTAAACAAATCTACTTTGCCTGGAAATACCGATCCCAGCCTGCCATGCAACAGAAAGCCAAGAACTTCGTTTCTAACGTTGGAAAATTTCCCTGAAACAAGCATGATGAAACAGGATGTGCGGCCAAATAAAATTCCCCAACGGCAGTCTTCCAGAAGGCCATCACCGAGCCCAAAGATGCTGATCAGAATCTCCCAAGGAGGCTCACAAAACTCTGATACCAAAAAGTACAGACTTTTCATTTTCTGGGTTCACTGTAGTGAATATTGCCCAGGGCTTACTAAGAGAAGGGCTTTACACTAGGAGGCTCTCTCTTACTAAAAGCAGCCGTACATGTGGACTATTAAATTTTCCAGTTTTTACTAAAGGCCAGGGCTACACGGTCCAATGCAAGAACTGCCGGCGACATGCGCCACTGAGCACCTGAAATGCGGCCAGCCCAAACCGAGCACGCAGTAAGTCACACGCACCCTGGATTTTGAACACTTAGCACCAATGAAAGAAGGGAAATAGCTAATTAATCATTTTTATTTTGATTATATGTTAAAATGACATTTAGAATACATGATTTAGAGTTAAAGATAATAACCATAAACAATAATTACATAGAATATATTATTAAAATTAATTTCACCCATTTTTTTATCCTATTTTACTGTGGCCACATGAATATGTTAAGTTACACGCAGAGCTCACATTCTATTTCTACTGGACAGTGCTGGGCAAGGGCACTGGAATAACAATGGGGAAGAAGCGCAAACTCTAAAGTCAAGTTAAGTCTAAATCTGTACTCAAGTTCTCCCGCTTATGATCTCCAGATTATAGGTAAGTCATGTGGCTCTCGGAGCTACAGTGTGTATGTGTGTTAAAGTAGAATACCAAAACCTGTTTTTCTGCCTGCACACAGGAGATGCTCAACACAGCTCCTGAACATTCTAAATAGCAGAAAAATGTCCACACTGTAGGACAGAAAAAAACCGGCAGATCTTACATCGTGGAGTGCCCTGCGGGGAAGGAGGCCTCCCCCGTTGAGCTGTTCACCTACCTGTTAATGATGGCTTGGTCCTCAGGGAGGCGGAAGACCCTGGGTCTCGGGTTTCCTTCCTGAGGTTTCGGAGTCACGCTGCCTATCTCAACAAAGCCAAAGCCCATCTTGTAAAGTCCGTCCACAGCTTCCCCATGCTTATCAAATCCTGCTGCGATTCCAACTGGATTTCGGAACTTATGGCCCAGGACTCTCACTTCCTAGGAAGAAGGAAACAAAGCCAGACATACACGGGCTATCCTGGTGTTTCTCCAAGGGCAGGCCACAGCCCATCTAGGTCGGAATTACCTATAGAGCTTGTTAATCAGAAGGTGTTCCGAGAGCACCTACCAGCATGTCAGAGTCTTGAAACGTGGCACGAGGAAGGAGCCCCAGGGAGGTGATGCGAATGGCCAGCCTGTGGGCTGACTCGGGGTCCAGCAGCCTCTGCATCGCCGGCATCAAGTGTTCAGCGTAGAAATGTTCATCCCCCATGGCTGTCAGGTAGGAAGTGAAGAGAAGTCCCCCACCCCCCAGGATGACCACAGCATCCTGGGCCCGCTTCTGGGGGAGAAAAAAGGCCCATTTAAAGTCCCACAAGGCAGACTGCAGTAAATTCTCTGTGCCCTTTACACCCATACACACAGGACATAAAGACATGTCACATGAAGAAACATCCCCAGCCTTCTGCTAACACTGGTCTCCTTCATTTCTAGTCCTGCTCCCACATTGGCCTCAACTTTCAGTGGCTGTATCCACACTTTTTTTTTTTTTAAGATTTTATTTATTTATTTGACAGACAGAGATCAGAGGTAGGCAGAGAGGCAGGCAGAGAGAGAGGAAGGGAAGCAGGCTCCCTGCTGAACAGAGACCCCAGTGTGGGGCTCAATCCCAGGACCCTGGGATCATGACCTGAGCCGAAGGCAGAGGCTTTAACCCACTGAGCCACCCAGGCGCCCCTGTATCCACACTTCTGACACTCATCGTGCCCTGAAGGACTCCAAGCCAGAGGTTTCAAGAGAGGCAGTATCGCCTCCTAGGGGATATGTGGTAGGCATTTTGGAGGACTCAGTAAAGGCAGACATCCTGCATTGTTGTAGGCTATCAGACAGATGAATTGTCCCTGTCCTGTATGACTTTTGAACATCTTACTGACACTCAGTATGTAAAAAATATCTATTCATATTATCTCAGCCTACAGTCCACCACATAAACACAACTATCTCCTGCACAGACTTTTCCAGGAATGCAATTCCCTCAATTACTGAGGGACAACTACACTGTTTTGCACAGAACATTACCAAGGATTGTTCCCCATTTTAGAGATCTCAGGAATGGTATAGTGCTTTGCTTGGGTGTTTGACAATAAAACATACCTGAGAATTTTTTTTTTAAGTTTTTTTTTTTTTTTTTATTTGACAGAGATCACAAGTAGGCAGAGAGGCAAGCAGAGAGAGAGGGAGAAGCAGGCTCCCCGCTGAGCAGAGAGCCCGATGTGGGGCTCGATCCCAGGACCCTGGGACTATGACCTGAGCTGAAGGCAGAGGCTTTAACCCACTGAGCCACCCAGGCACCCCCATACCTGAGAATTTTTTAAAAGATTTTATTTATTTCTCAGAGAGCGCCTGAGCACAAGCAGGGGGAGTGTGAGGCAGAGGAAGAAGCAGACAGAGGGAGAAGCAGCAGGCTCACCACTGATCAGCCCCAATGTGGGGTTTGATCCTAGGTCGCTGGGATCATGACCTAATCTGAAAGCAGATGCTTAATTGACTGAGCCACCCAGCCGTCCCTGAGGCACTAGAATTTCTAGAGACTTAAACACCTGACTATATCTCACTGAGTCATGCCATAACACTTACATGCTGAAATGCATATGTTTTATTATAAATTCCTTCAATTTCTCTTTTATATTCCGGTTAGGACATTAGTTGAACTTTTAAAATAATACAAAGACAGACCACATTATATATAAATTCTACTTCAGGATAATAAAAGCAGTTGCAAAATATTTTTTTAAAAGGAGCATCAGGTCTTAATGAGTCAAGAATCACAATCCTATTCAAAACGTGCTTCATAATGCTTTTTCTCTGGTTATCACTGCCAGGTGATGAGTCATTCATTCATTCACTCAATCATCTGCCCAACAGTTATAGAGCACTCAGAGGAGTGCTCCTCAAGGAGGACAATCTCAGGAGGAGACAGTCATTGGTCAATGATCACGCAAACATGTAACTGTGAAGATTGCTATGAAGAAAAAAACGTATAGGGTAATAACAGAACCTCGAGGTGGAGGAAGGCTTGCTTGAGGAAGCAACTAAAAGCTGACATCCAAAGGATAAATAGGAGTTAACTAGGAGTTTCCTGGGGCTCAGGAAAAAAGTGTAAAGGTGCTCTTAGTGGCAGAAGGTAATGAGATGCATCCAAGGAAGAGGGGAAGGAGAAGGGCTTGTTGGAAACCAAGGAATAAGGAAACGGACGACTTAAAAAGAAGCTGGGGAGATAAGCAGGGACCCTGACCAGAATAAAGATTTGAGTTTTGCTCCCTACACAAGTTAGTGATGGGGTCAGATCTGCCCTTGAGGATCACCCCCAGCTGTTAATATAGAGCAAGTATTTGTTGTCTTGCTTCTAATCTCCAGCAGATTGTAGGAACGCCCTTTAATGTCAATCAGCAAGTATCTGGACGCCGTTCACAAGCCCCCGCCCTAAAATTTCATATAGAAGGGTTGGGGCCGTTGCACGTTGGATCCTGCGCACGGTGTTAGGCGGTCATGTGTTCACTATACGCCCGTGTCGGGGTCAGTAAAAGTCTGGCCCACGTGCGTTGGCAAAGACCTGCATCTACCCAGACTGGAACGTGCTGTTACGCGTGTTAATGCACACGCACTGGCATTTGCAGGTGCCTCCACACACGCACAGACGTAGCCGGGGGCCCACGATCTCGGAGCCGAAACCCGCCCACACCTCGCTCACGTTAGCCCTCTATTCTCCTCTTGCCCCACACCTCGCCGGCACTACTAGCTACTGCACAGCCCACTTTCTCAACTCACTTTGAGCTGCCTCCACGCCATGCTCCTTCCGCCTCTGGACCCGCCTCTGGCTCATTTCCATTGGAGGAGATGGCTGTGAGCCCTCCAATCACCGCCGCGCAGCTGCCACTTCACCAATCGCCGGGCAAGAGGGTGGGGGCCGGCCTCCCGGCGGCGGAAAAAGCCTCGCTCCGCCCCGGGGGCGTGGCTGGACGCCGACGCGCGCAATGACGGCGGCCACGCCCCTTCCGTCCCAGGCGCGGGACTTAGTCTCTGAGCTGTGCGGTGCTGTGGGTCGCTGGCGCTTGGGGGTGCACTTCCCCGCTTTCTGGTCCAGCGACGTGGGCAAGAGACCTCGCATATGTAGATATTCAGTTCCGAGCAACGCGCTCACCAATATCATGATCGTTTAAATTGAAAGCTCTCGGTAAAGCACGTGTTGGGAGTATGTATCAGACACCGTAAATAGGGAATGAAAGACCGCACTGTGTAAGATACCCGAGTTGACTTCAGAGAAGATTCCATCAGCTCCAGGTTTCACTTAAAAATGTCTAAAACGTATGTATTTACGTAAGTATGTGTGTTAATGAAGGTTTTGGGAAATCCAGACTTTGCAGCGAAGTCCTCCTCCCGAACGATTCCATTGCGGCGAAAACCTGGTGGACTCTATTTAGAAACCTTCCATATTAATTGGATACTCTTTCCTGGCATTTGAAGACATTTCAGTTTTTTAGTTTCATTTCTGTCTCCCAAGTGCCCATCCCACCCGCCCCACACAGAATTACTTCTTTCCCCTTTTAAATACTTGACACTTGCCATGCATTTACTCATGTTGACTCCTGCTGAGATGACCAGTCCCTCTATCTCAAGATGGTCAAGTGCTGGGAAAAATTTCTTCCTCATCTGAGTCTTCATAGATATATGCTGTCCAGTGGCACTCTCTTTATTAACTACAATTGTTAGGTCTTCCCCCACCCCACCCCCCAGCTAGACTGTAAATGTTTTGAAAGTAAGGAACATACCATATTTATCTTTAGTTCCATTACCACATTGTTTTTTCAAACCGAGGGAGGAGTGTATTCTTGGCATAGACACTTAAGAGAATATTGGATACTGGTGTCTTTCTGTAATGATTTTTAAAAATAATATATCATTTGGGCCATTTGGACAACCACCTGAACCCTGAAACCTACCAAGCTATTTCAGTGGCCACATTTTATTGTATTCATTCTCATATTTTGGTACCAAGAAAGAAAACTGGCTGAAATAAACGATGGGTGGCTTGCAGGTGAAGGACAAATGACATGCTGTATGAACGAAGGTTTTTCAGCAAGTTAAATAAAGTGGTGAGAGAATGGATTTTTGCTACAGCATGAGATAGCTTGCCTGCCAAATCAGAACAACCTGTGTGGTCATAGCTTGTTTCTCTGATAGCTATTCAGTGCAGCCCGTTTTCATTTCATTGGTTTTCAGTTCTGTGTGTATTTAATTTGTATTCTTCCATCAGATATTTATTTTTTTGTTTTTATGATTGTGTAAGAGCTTTAGCATATAGGTTATGCCTAGTTTTATGTTTGAACGTATTTAAAAAGCAGAATACAATAATTTAAATTTGTCCTGGGGTTCTGTGAGAATGGTTTCCTTTAAAACACACATACACTACATTTCTTAATTTTTAGCAACATTGACTTAGCTATTCCACATCTTCTATTCCTTTACAGCCTAGTCTTAGCAAATAGCTATTGTAAAGCTAAAGGCAGAGCTGGCTGTGTAGACACAGGTGTGGATGCTTTATAAATGCCCATTGCTTTATTGATCTTTGCTGTTTATTTTCAGCTCGTAGGGACTTCACCTGGGTTCTTAAAAACAAAAACAGAAAAAACAAAAAGCCTTTTATCTCCTTCTCAAATTATTCCCTCTTCCTAAAAGAATGATACTAATAAATATGACAAACCCACCAAGAATATATTTAAAGGACCAGTCAGCTGCTGAGCCCCTACACTGTTCTTGCTCACAATTCACAGAGAAAATGTTCTCGGGGAAGGAATCTGGCTTTCGTTATGTATCAGAACAGGTGTCATTCTAGGAAATGAGCTAAATATCCCAGAGCGACACGGTACAAATCATTGTTACCAACTTAACAGGTTTCACTGCAGCTACGAGGAAGCAGAAAATCACTGTCATGTCCAGGGGGGACACCTTGCTTACACTTGGAACCTGGAAGTTCAGAATCTTCTCTGGGACTCTCTAGAGGAAGGGAGTAAGTGGTGGATTGGGCAAAATCTAAAGCACCTGGGCAAACATCAAGAGAAAAACAACCCAGATAAGGCTCTGAGATGAGTGTTTATAAAAGTCCTTACTTTTATTCTGGAACAGGAGAAAGAAAAAAATTTAAATCTTTCCGCTTTTGTATATAGAAAAAATCAGTCGCTTTACTTCATTAACCACAGTTCCTCTGCTATATTTATATTTTGGGGCTTTAACCTTTGATTTGTCTGTGTAGAAAGACAGTGAGATTTTCTCAGCGTTTATCAAAAGCTAGCATACCTGATATTTCACTGAAAGTGCTGTGTAGGATTCTAAAATGGGAAACTTTTAAAAAAAAATATTTCATTCATTTATTTGAGAGAGAGAGAGCATGAGAAGGGGGAGGGTCAGAGGGAAAAGCAGAATCCCTGCCAAGCAGGGAGCCCGATGTGGGACTCGATCCCAGGACTCCAGGATCATGACCTGAGCCGAAGACAGTCCCTTAACCTACTGAGCCACCCAGGTGCCCCTAAAATGGGAAACTTTTTATGGCCACTTTGTTCCTGGCAAATATCGCCTCATCATTCTTGGCTCCAAGTTTCCTAATTCAGAAGCCAGAAGAGAAATTATTTGCCTGTTACCTTTCTTACAGAGATATTTTCAAAGTCATGCACCGTAATATTGTGGTCTTGGAGAAATAGCTAAGGCCATGTTATATGACCATCATCTTCACTGAAGTCTAGGTAAACTAATACAAAGCCTTGTGATAAAGAGCACATAATATGAAAAAATAAATTATCTATAACGTGTGGGCAGAGAGAAGCTTAACTGCTTCAGTGTTAATACTTTTCTGGAGGCAAGCAACCTTAGCTTGACATTAACCTGACCTCCAGGATCCTGCAAGTCTTCCTAACATCTAAAAATCCCTTTGGAGGGAGAGGGTGGTTGGGTTGTGGACACTGGGGAAGGAATATGCTGTGGTGAGTGCTGTAAAGTGTGTAAACCTGGCGATTCACAGACCTGTACCACTGGGGCTAATAATACAGTATATGCTAATAAAAATTAAAAAAAATAAAAAATCCTTTTGGAAACTTCCTTTATCTCATCCCCTGACTGAGAAATATAGGTTAGCAATCATCCTTCAAACGTATGGCCCAGTGATAGCCATCTAAATGGTCTTGTAACTAAGGTTTACTACACAGTAGAAAATGACCCCCTCAAGGTCCAGGAAACCTTGCTTTCAAATTACTTAGAGACTTCCCTAACCCTTCCCAATTGGAAAGAATGTAATCAGTCACTCTTCACAATCCCAGGGTAGCTCTTTCTGCCCTCAGGTCCTGTCCCAATGTTTAATAAAACCACCTTCTTGCACTGAAGATGTCTCAAGAATTCTTTCTTGACCATTTGCTTCTGGACCCTCAATAACACATCACATTTGGGGGATATCCTAAGTTCCATCTCTTAGAAGCTAGCAAAATTTGGTTTTCATATTTACTTTGAAAAAAGGTTGATTTTGGAGTCTGAGGCTCATCTGGGTCTGGTCCTCCTATGGCAGGTATCGTGGGTCCCCGGCCCCTGGAGCTGCCCAGCTGCACTTACATGTCCAGAAATTCCAACTGGATCTCATCAAAAGTGGACTTGTGCCCCCTGGAACATTCTTTCATTTGCCAGGCTGGTAAGTGATGAAGCCCCATCCCACCAAATTCATAATTTCTAGAAACTGATTCTACATCAGGACAGCATGCAGACGTATTGGTTAAGGAGTCTGTTCCATGAAAGGGAGATATATGCCAAGTGACATCCAAAGGAGGAGGCAACAGAGGAAAGAAAAAGCCTGGTAAGTCCAGCTTGACAAGAAGTGGTTTTTTAAGAAGGAACCACCCAAGAGGAGAATGCTTAAGAGTAGATGTGTGTCCTAGTCCTGTCTCCGGGGCAGATCATGGACATTATGCCTCAAGGTTTACTTAAGGGTTTGGTTAAATGAAAAGAAAAAAAATGGGGGTTGGGAGAGAATGTGCTTAAGAAGGTTTCCTGTCGCAGAGTCTGTGATGATAGCGCAAAGGATGCGCTGTCATGATCTTCGTGATACTGATTGGAGTGAGAAACTCTTCATCTGGAATGACTTTCATATACATCCCACTCTGGTAGTTAGACCTGTGCCTGATGTTGCTTTCGTTTCTTGACTTGGGTGATGTGAGAGAAGGGGTCGGAGTAAACTCTATTTTCCTCACGTGCACCCCCAAGCCATTCGGCACTTGGGCTTCAGAGGGAAGATCACAAAAGCAAAGGAGGAAAGTAGAATATTGGTGGGGGAAGATGAGAAGGTGAAGGGTGACGAGGCTGTTGTCGTGTCGGTTTCCTTCGCAGGAGTAGGCGATGAGAATTGTGTGCCTGAAGTTGGGTGTGTGGTTTTTCAATCTATGTTTCTCATGGTGGGTGTGTCCAGCATTTATTCTTAGTTCAGTGAATTCTCGAGGACCTTACAGTGTCGCAGTCTGAGTAAAAATTTTGTTCCACTTTAAAAAGTCACAAATACATTCTTATTAAAATATGACGCATCTGGGAAGCCTGGGTGGCTTGGTCAGTTAAGCGTTTGCTTTTTTCACTCCGGTTATGATCCCAGAGTCCTGGGGTCAAGTCCTGCATTGGGCTCCCTGTTCCGAGGGGAGTCTGCTTCTCCCTCTGCCTGCTGCTCTTTCACACACACACACTCTTGTCGTGGCTGGCACGACAAATCGACCAGGAACGTGAGGGTAAGAGGATGGTGAAAAGAAATTAAGAGACAGAGATGGGAACAGGAGGAACACTGAGGATGATGTCCAACAGTGCCAGTTTTATTCCACATCTTACAATCATTTATAAGGCAGATCACAATAGGAGTAATACATCAGTACCTAGTCAGATGACCGCAAGTTTCTATAACAAGTTTATATTAACTACAGGCAAACCTCGTGATGTCAGGTAGTCTCGGCTAAAGCCATTAGCAAGACAATCAACCAGGGAGTGGGTTATGGGAGGTACAGGAACAACAAGGACCAACTAAGAATTCATGACCCTGACCACATTGTTCCCTTCTGTAGGGAAGGTGTGTGGGAAGTCACGTAGGCCAGCGCACGACACATAGCACAGACCCTTTTTCAGTGTTACTCAACTTTCCTGTCCTTGACTTCTTATCAAGGTGTCTGGACTTTGGAGGAGACATAAGTCAGGGCCTGGTTTGATCCACAACTCCAACCATGCCATAGCCTCCAATACACTCTCTCTCTGACAAATAAAATCTTTTAAAAAAAGTGAAATATCAGGGCGCCTGGGTGGCTCAGTGGGTTAAAGCCTCTGCCTTTGGCTCAGGTCATGGTCTCAGGGTCCTGGGATTGAGCCCCGCATCGGGCTCTCTGCGCAGCGGGGAGCCTGCTTCCTCCTCTCTCTCTGCCTGACTCTCTGCCTACTTGTGATCTCTGTCTGTCAAATAAATAAATCTTTAAAAAAAAAAAAATGAAACATCTATAGGTTCTTGATAAAACAGAACACAGTGCAATATTTGTTTATTATAAGGAAAAAAAAAAGATCCCCTTCCTCAGATGATATTGAAACGACCCTGTATTTCAGGGTAATAAATTTTTGGCTTCCAGCTTCTCGTTCTCCACCCTTTCAAGCTCTCTGTGATACGCTTGCTGGATTTTGCTTTGATAGCACTGTTGTTGGCGAGGCCAAGGTTGTGAGGCCAGTCTCTGCGCAAATCAAGTGGTCCCATGTTTGTCACAAATGTGAGTGTGCCACCTTACGATTGTGAACTGTTTTACATCCTTACAGGAGGTTATTGGGCCCAAATCCTCTCCAGGATAGGAAAAACAACCCTTAATACAGCCTAAATGATGATGATTTCCCATTCATTTTTCACTCTTCAAGAGTTGAGTTTTTAGACATTTTCACCTACTCTTGGTTTTGGAGTGAAAATGCATTTTTCTGATATTATCACTCATGTACTTGCAAGAGATTACTGCTCTGGAATATGGAGTGTTCGTACAGCAGATAATCTTGGGCAAAAAGAATTTTAGAGGCATCTCGCTGAGTCAGTGAAGCATACAAACTCACAACGTCTCGGGATTGTGAGTTTGAGCCCCATGTTGGGTGGAGATATTAATTACACATAAAATCCTTAAAAATAAATAAGTAAAATTTTAAAATAAAAAAATAAAATCTTGGGAAAAAAACAACAAAAAATGTTTTGAAAGAGAATTCTATTCCATTATCTAAGCCAACTCAGCAGATTCTGAACTTGTAATCCTGTGATGAGATATAATGTTTCTGTGGTTGAGAGCTCAAGCTCTGAAGTCAGATGTCTGAGTTCATGTCTTCATTCTGGAACTTTCCTGTTGTGGCCCCTCGGCAGTCCTTCAGAGGACTGTTATGAGGGTTAGTAAGATAATACAAGTACAGTATGAGAACAGCGCCTAGCAGTTATTACTGATAATATTATGAAATTTCTCTTTTTTGTGTAAAGTTCATTACTGCTTCTAGATAGCATCACATTCCTGTCAAAGGTCATTGGATATCTTGGAGATCCAGTATTGCTAATTATCTTTAAAACTAAAGTATTAGCACGATATAATTGCTTAGTATTCAGAACTAGCCATTGTTGGGGCACCGGCTGGCTCAGTCAGAAAAGCATGTGACTCTTGGTCTCTGGCTTGTGAGTTCAAGCCCCATGTTGGGTGTAGAGATTACTTAAATAAATAAAAAAAGAAGAAAAGAAAGAAAAAGGAAGGAAGGAAGGAAGGAGGAAAGAAAGAGAAAGACTGCCCTTTTTTTTTTTTTAAGATTTTTTAAAAATTTATTTATTTGACAGAGATCACAAGTAGGCAGAGAGGCAGGCAGAGAGAGAGTAGAGAGAGAAGCAGGCTCCCTGCCAAGCAGAGAGCCCGATGCGGGGCTCGATCCCAGGACCCTGATCATGACCCCAGCCGAAGGCAGAGGCTTTAACCCACTGAACCACCCAGGCGCCCCAGGAAGAAAAAGAAAAGAAAGAAATTGCTATTTTATTGTGAACTTAAGAAGTGCCTCTTCAGGGCACTTGGATGGCACAGTCGGTTAAGCATTCAAATCTTGATTTCGGCTCAGTTCATGATCTCAGGGTGGTGAGATGGAGCCTGCCTAAGATGCTCTCCTGTGCCCCTCCCCTCTCTGCTCCTGCACATGCTCTCTCTGTCTCAAGGGAGGAAGGCAGGCAGGGAGGCAGGCCTCTTCCAAAATAACATGTTGGTGGGAGAAGTGTTTGTAAATTTGTTCCTTAACGTTCAAGAGAGAAGTTTAATGTTTCATATTATGAAGTATTGTTGCCCAAAAATAGACAAATGCAAATTAAAACTGAGATACCATTTCCCACCTAACACATGGGCATGAATCCACAAACTTAACAACGTATTCCATTGGCAAGACTGTAGGGAAACAGATACTGCCCTAAATTGCTAACAGGAATGCGAGAAGATACAGTTTCTTTTTTTTCTCTTTTTTCTTTCTTTCTTTTTTTTTTTTTTTAAGATTTTATTTATTTTTCTGACAGAGAGAGATCACAAGTAGACAGAGAGGCAGACAGAGAGAGAGAGGGAAGCAGGCTCCCTGCCGAGCAGAGAGCCTGATGCGGGACTCAATCCCAGGACCCTGAGATCATGACCTGAGCCGAAGGCAGCGGTTTAACCCACTGAGCCACCCAGGCGCCCTTTTTTTTTTTTTGGATAGAGATCACAAGTAGGCAGAGAGAGGAGGAAGCAGGCTCGATCCCAGGACCCTGAGATCATGACCTGAGCCGAAGACAGCGGTTTAACCCACTGAGCCACCCAGGCGCCCTTTTTTTTTTTTT